TGTTCAAATTGCCTGGTGGAACATATTTCATTTTCTCAAAACAGATTGCTCCAAATAGGAGTTGTGTAATTCCCATTTTTCCTACATATTAGCATTCTGTTGTTTTCATTCAGCATTTAGTATACTGAAACTTTTCTCTTCCTTTTATTTTGAATATATCTAGATAAGCTTTTTATTGTTGTTTTTAGTTTGTTTCCTCCACCAATCTCAGCTTATTCTGCACACTAAAACAATATATTTAGCATTTTAATTGCATAAAATAATTAACCACATTTTTTCCTTCAGTGCCTGAAAGATAAATATTTTATAGACCCAAAATGGGCACTGAACAAAGCACAAATTGCATTTCCATATATTAGACTCAAGAAAAATATTAAACTTTAAAAATATACACTAAATGTTTCTAATATATTCTGTTTGGCTACCACTATATTACTAACAAATTTATTCAGTTTAGAGGTTGATTAAATAGTTGTGATCTATACTGTACATAAATACTGCTAAAATGCCAGCTGGTTTCTTTTACAGTCAAGTTGTGAAAATGTTTACCCTTATAAGTATTTCTCCACTTTAAACACATCTTTGTTCTCCATATCAATGAAATGCTTTAGGGGCAGAATAAAACATAATTGTGCTTCAGCTAATCATGATTTATTTTAAACCAGAAAATTAAAACCCCAGATTGTGAATGATGTTGGCAATCAGCAAAACTGACTCTTGCTTTGAAAACTGAACATCTGAACTAAAACTGAATTAAACTTATCATTCTATCTTCCTTCATGAAAATATTTTCTTTTATATCAACTGTTCTAATAGCCATTCTTCCTGGAATTGAGACTAAATGCCACTTTTATATATCACCAACATATTTTCTGGTTTTTCTTCTATCATCTCTTTCTAGAAACTAACATTATATTGTTAAAATGGCTAATCTTCATGAATCTCAAATGATATACATTATGATATAACTTGTATTTATTTGTACAGAAATGGGAAATAGTTTTTATACCAAGGACTGTTTATGTTTGGTCCTAATGCAGAATCTACTGTAGTTTTAAAACAGATTCAGCAAATGTTTAGTTCAAGCTGGAAAAAAAAAAGACTCAGTGCACATCCAATACAATTTTTATATAAGACCTTGTAATGTCTTTAATATAAAAGGCTGTATTTAAAAAAATAGTGAAACCTGGTAAACTTTTATTTAAGAACATTACATTACCATTTGCAATTATTTTTAAAACAAGACCCTAAGAAAGAACTAAACTAAATGAAACAAGGCAATAAGTTTCACACACTTACTGAAATACTGGTTTTTGTTTTTTTTTAAAAAAAAGGGGGGGGGAGGAAACATTTTTATCATGGCTTCACAGTTCCAGATAGCTGGTATAAAATATCAAATTTGAAAGTTACCTACCAAACAATAGCTTTCCACTGATTCCACATCATCCCTTTAGATTAAATATTTTTCAAATTTAGAAACAATGTTCAACTTGTCAAGTAGAAAACAAATCTTAGTTCGTGGTGTGGCATTCCAAAAAAAATGCACGTAAGTATTTACAGGATATTTACACCATACATATTATCTTGTAGAATTCTAAACAATTCTACTGTTTTTTTGGTCTGAAGAGATCTGTTACGACACCCGAGGTCTTTTAGGTGGTGGTGGTGGCATTAGTTCAGTGTCAGGATCTAGGTGATGTTTACGTGGTTGTCCTGGAGTTGCTGCCATGCATTTTTCAATGAATTCAAAAAGGATTTCCTTTGTCACTGGATGTTGTATACTGTTGCATACAGCTGGAAGGGAAAAACACATTGTGAGAGCAAGAAAAAACATTTATTCACAGTTGTACTTACAGAGAATGGAGATTCTCAAAATCCAGTAGATCCAAACCAATTGCCCTGCACACTTCTATGAGTACGATGACAACATAATCCATGGAATGAAATTCAAAGAAAGTCCCATTCATGTGCAGCCATGTTCAACTAGTTCAAAAGAAGAAGCTTCTCATCACAATGTTCCTATAAAGGTCAATTTCTACACTGACACCTAAAACTTTATCCTCAAAACCAGAATTTTTGATGCTTCTTCTCCAGCCTCTGAGACTGCTACTACTAAGATTAATCAATCAATCAATCAACCAGAATAGAACTGGAAGGGACCTTGAGGATCTTCTAGTCCAACCCCCTGCTTAATCAGGAGACCCTATATCATTTCAGACAGATGGCTGTCCAGTCTCTTCTTAAAAACCTCCAGTGATGAAGCACCTACAACTTCTGAAGGCAAGCTGTTCCACCGGTTAATTGTCCTCACTGTTAAGAAGTTTCTCCTTAATTCTGGGTTATTTTTCTCCTTGATTAGTTTCCATCCATTGTTTCTTGTATTGCCTTCTGGTCCTTTGGCAAATAAGTTGATTCCCTCTTCTTTGTGGCAGCCCCTCAAATAGTGGAATACTGCTATCATATCACCCCTAATCCTCCTTTTCTCTAGACTGGCTATACCCAATTTCTGCAACCGTTCATATGTTTTGTCTCCAGCTCTTAATCATTTTAGTTGTTCTTTTTTGCACTTTTTCCAAAATCTCAACATCTTTTTTGTAACATGGTGACCCAAACTGGATGTAGTATTCCAGGTGTGGTCTCACTAAGGATTTATAAAGTGGTATTAATACTTCATGTGATTTTGATTCTATGCCTCTGTTTATACAACCGAGGATTGTGTTAGCTTTTTTGGCTGCTGCCACACACTGCTGGCTCATGTTTAAGTGATTGTCTATAGGACTCCAAGGACCCTCTCACAGTTACTGTGAGCAGTTGAGCTCACACAGTTGAGCCAGGTTTCACCTAATCTATACTTGTATCCCAGGTTTTTCCTGCCTAGGTATAAAACCTTGTTTTTCTCCAAATTAAATTTCATGTTGTTGGATAGGGCCCATTGTTCAAGTCTGTCAAGATCTTTTTGGATTCTGAGTTTGTCTTCTGGGGTGTTGGCTATTCCTGCCAGCTTAGTGTCATCTGCACTATACTGTACTGAATCCTGTAATGAACAGCCTGGTGTATGCCTTGTAACTATGTAATAAATTTTGATATCGTATTTTGGAAACATTAGTCTAAAAGGTTAATTCATTACTGTAAGAAGCAATTAAAACCTTTTAAACAAATTTAAATGTTTGCTATTAATGTAAGCGATTGTGTAATGTTTAGGCATATACCGACAATATATTATTTGGGGGAAAGTATAGATTTTTATGTAATTTCATGTTTTTATGGAAAGTATTGACACCTAAACTGTACAAATATGGAATCCTGAACAGTATGTAACTATGGCTATATGCATAAATATCAGTGATGTGTTAATAAAAGCATCACAACAAATAATATGGTACTTAAATATTTTTGTAACTTTCGTTACAACATACCAATAGTATTTTTCCTCTGGATTTTTCAAAATACATTTTGTCACATGAAGTGCACAGAGTTAAAATACATTTTAGTTTGAGCTATTCAACACCAACAATAATAATTTGTAATGATTTTTAAAGCATTTTCCTTGGGAAGAAACTTATTGTTTTAAATTTTTTATTAGATTCTTTTTAATAGTAGTAGGGAAATTAGTATGTACTATATAAGGAAACATTTTTTCATAATTTTAATCTCTTATTTCCCATGTTTTGCACATTATTTTAGGATGTAGAAATTTTCACTGAGTAGTGGCTGTCTTAATTTGAATACAATTGAAAGTGTCAGACAAGAGAAGACCACTTGATATGAATGCTCCATGCCAGTCCACATTTCATTTTTAAATATGCATGAGTCAAACTCTGGTTCTGAATTCCAATTTTTATTGAAGCCAAGAAAACTCAAATTATGAATCTTAAAGTCTTTGCAAAAAAAGTTATTTTTGCTAGTTAAAGTTTAATAACAACATGCAGATACAGAACCAATTTATTGCACTTACCCATTGCTGTACTGTATGCATTGGGAAAACTTTTGTCTATCCTTTGTCTCATAAATACCCAGCTGTTGTTTTCAAACTTGCATTCTATTATTTTATTATCAAATTGTTTCAAGTCTTTTGTTACCTGTTTTTAAAAATAAAGATTTTTTGTTGCAAATGAAAAAAGTCAAACTTGTTTTCTCAAATTCAGATCATTCAGTACCAAATTACTTGCTACAAACATAATATTATGTACCCCAAAGATACAAGAAGCATGATAAAAGCAGAAAACAGTGAAGTTAAATTTCAATTTATGAATATATATTGAAATTGTATTTGAATACATAACATCCCTATGGGGCATGTAATTTTTTTAAGGGGGAAAAAACCTAGAATGCAGAAATGCAAAGGATTTCTGTTTAAATTACAAGATGTTTTATTCTTGATGTAATTACATATACAGAAATAGAATATCAAATAGAACACAGGAAATTGTGTCTATTGTGTTATTTAATCAGGAGAATATATTTCATAAGCTCCTAAAACTTACCAGTTTAGATTTTTAAATAAATTATACTTGTCATTTGAATCAGTAAACTTATACTAAAATCAACTTTTAAAATTGTCCAACATTTCTGTAATCCTATTTCTCCTCAAATTAACAATAATTATGGTCACAAAAATTATGAGTTTGTACAAATTTACAATGATAAAAATTCAAATAAACCAGACACAAATCAAACACTTAATGGTAAATGTATTATATTTTCCCCACAGGTGTAAGTTACAAAACCGCTTTCCATCTGTGTGAAACTAAGTAACCGATGGGAAATCTATGGCCTCCAGATGTTGATAACTGTAGCTTCCAATATTCATTTCCATTAATATCCTGACTGGGGCTGCAGGGAATTATAATTTAACACATTCGAGAATCAGAACTGCCATATACTTTTGTCTTAGTGCCTTTATAACAAAATAATCTGAATGCTTCCAGGGTTGGTTTTATTAAAAAAAAAGTTAAACAATATGCAGATACCTTTCAAGCTGTATTTTACAATTAGATTAACACCAAGTCATAGAATTACTTGCATCCACTTAACATTTTATTTGTTTTGGATACTTTATCTTGTGCACCTTATTAGCCATGCAAAATTTTGGAGTAGCTATGGTAACCTCTGTTGTTGAACATGTTCTCTTTTTCTAAACAAAACCCATGCTATTCTTGTTTTCATTATATGAGAAATGGTTTCTGTACTAGAGTGGAAATGAATAGTCTAATCTTGTCCCAAGGCAATATTTTATAATAATTTCTTTATTTTTTTCATATACATTTTATTAAGAATTTTAAACAGCAGATAAAACCTAACAAGAATTAATATAAAGAAAAGAAAGAAAAAAGAGAGAGATAAAGCCCAAAGTACAAAAAGAAAAAAATGAAAAGAAACAGAAGGAAGAGGCTTCTGATTGTATAGACACCCTGCAGTAAAGGGCTTGGGTCTGTCCAATAATTGGTGATCGATTTCCAAGGGCACTCAATGGTGATATCACTTTGATGATCAATGTCCCTGATTCTCTCTTCTACTATTAATTTGACCTTCTCCAGAGTTAATGGCTTAAAGATTCAAGATAAATACAACTGCAAAGTTCTGCTATACAGATACAGGGACAATGAGATTGGTAGCTGTCTGTCAACAGCAGAAACATCAGGCCTGTAGATGTAACTTGATTCAAAATACTGAGATTAGAATCCAAGACCAGGAATGAGTCTTAATACTTAGTACATTAGCTTCAAAGCTTCAATACGGCACTGGGATACTGAATGAAGTCCTAAGGAAATTTCAGTGGCTTCATAAGCACTCGGATTTGTGTATGGGTCAAGTTGTATCCCATATAATAGTTGGGCAACTGTTTTAGCTGTAAACAATTTAACTGCTGCTGGAATGTAATATGCCCCATTGCCTATAAAATTTAATTATTGTTTGTGTGGCATAATTTACCTGGGTTGTTAATTTCCCGGAGGCCCGAAATACTATGCCCAAATATTAAAACATCTGACCTGCTCTAATTCATGGGAACCAATTGTCCACTTGTGCTTTTGTCTTTTGTTAGAAAAAAAATCTAAAACTTTGGATTTATCATAATTGATTATAAATTGATCTTCATTACAGTAGGATACCAGGATTCTCAGTGCCTGCCTCATGCCTACAGAAGTATTTCAGCTTAACTAGTATCTTAATACACTATTGTTGAAGCAGCAAGGTATTATTTTGTTCTGAAGAAATTTTACAAATTCTCAAATGCAGTTCCCAAAAAATTCCCCCATCCTCTTAATTGTAAACTATTATCATTTCTGTAGTAATTTAAATTTATTTAGATCTAATCATCACAAGTGCTTCCTTCTAACCCCACCATTCCCTCCAGCCCCCTGTACACATACCAGTAATTCATATCACCACCACTGTGGCAACTATATTGATTTCTGGTAGGACATTGGATTTAAATCTTTTTAGCAGAAGTGACATCATGAGAAATGTTGGGAGTTTTACCCAACAAATTATCCACCACAAAATAAGGTTAGAATCATTTCCATTTCGTTAGCGTGATTAACTGCCCAATGTGTCCATCCATATTCTTTTTTATAGCATATCACATATGTCACAGAAAAGCATTTCTCAGCCAGATGTTTTACAGTTGTGGAATCAGCTAGTCACATTCAGGAAAACATACCCTTTCCTAATCCACAGTGAATATGATTGCACATAGAAAAAACATTAGACTGCATAATGAATTGAAAATGCATATTAACTGGTAATCACTGCCAGGTAAAATTTATCTTTAGCTAGCTAAGTCCATCCATCCATTTCCTGCTGAAAGAGGAAAAGATGTTAGTGAACCACTTGTTTGAGAAGGAAAAGTGAAGGGAAGAAAGTTTATTGTAGTCAATGACTTTCTCAAATTAGCATTCTCTATAAGGCTGTGTCACAATTTATCATTCTTATAGTGTTCACAGAATTAAAATAGCAGAAAATTATGTGCTTGCTCTATTTCACTGTGACAATTAAGTGGGATTAACTAACTATCTATGTACTTGCTTGGCCATTCATTAACAATCTGGAAGATCTTTCCAGAAAATGATAACATCTGCCAGAACAACAACCTAAATGCATTTTCCTAACAGAAAGTGCTGATCAGTTTAAACAATGACATGTTACTATAATTATTCTGAATATGCTGGAAGGAAGGGAGGGGGATAAAACATTCCTTTCCCCCCATATAATTTATGCGATCACTATCTACTATAATCACTGGTCCAACCTACAAATCACAGTTGAGTAATATCAGAAAGTAACACTTGTAAAAATTAGGACGGCTTAGATTCATCAATACCAGCCGTCAATAAAAAGTTTGTTCTTGTTTTGTAAGGCAGACCCTCCAGAACTCTCTGCTTTTCTTATCCCATTAAAGCAGGAACAAGCAATCTTTGGAAATGGACTGCATTGTTGTTGTTGTTTTTAATTAACCTTCAAGGGCCACCTGATGCAAGGGGATAACTTTCCTAGAAGAGGCCATCAGCTCTTTCCTCGCTTTCCTCCATAAGTTTGAAAAACAGTCATAAGTCACTTTTTCAGTGCCGCTGAACCTTCAAATGGTCACTAACTGAATGGCTGTAAGCTGAGGACTACTTGTATTTATTTTTTCTTGATGCAAGACTGATGCTTTCCTTCATTACCTTTAATACAAGCATGGCAAGGAAAGGATGGCCTGGGAAGGCAGAGGGGAAGGACCGGTGGGCAGGCCTGTTGGGTATGGTGCATTTGAACGCAAGTGCAGCAGCTAATGGTAAGTAAGGCACTGAGAAGATCAGTGGTTGCACAGGCCATGCCCCATAAGACCTTCTTGGAATTGGTCTGAAATAGGAATTTTAGTTCAACCTGGTGGTTCAGTCAAACTCCGCTGCTGATACAGTTCTACAAATGAATTATTGAGTCTGTCACTGGTACCTCTATAACTGTCTGGTTTGACACAGCAACCAAACAAGTCAGACACAGACTTCAGCCGATAGTTAGGACTGCAGAAAAAACAATTGCAACCAACCTGTCTTCCATTGAGGACCTGTATACTGTACGGGCCAGAAAGAGGGCTGTGAAAATATTTATAGACACATCCTGGACACCTCACATCCTGGACATAAACTGTTTCAACTCTTTCTCTCAAGACGATGCTATAGGGTATTGCATGCCTAAACAACTAGACACAAGGGCAGTTTTTCCCCCATGCCATCACTATGCTAAACAACTAATTCCTACAACACTGTCTATGCTCTAGGATGTCAAACCATCTAGTAGAGCTGTATCACCTATTATCCTTCTCATCTTTCCTATTATCTATTTCCTTAGCTTCTTATAATTTGTTGTTTGTATCTCATGATTTATGTTGCCTTTATTTAGTATCCTATTATGATTTATGTTGTTTGCTTATTTCATATCCTATGTATGACTATCACCGAGTTTGTATCTTATGATTTATTATGATTGTTTTTTTAAGATTATGATCATGATTTACCAATTGTTGCTTGTATGTACACTAAGAGCTTATGCATCAGAGACAAATTCCTTGTGTGTCCAATCACACTTGGCAATAAAAGAATTCTATTCTGTTCTGTTCCGTTCCATTCCATTCTCTATTTCATGCATACCTTTTATCCTTCTCAGGAAAAAAAAAAACCCAAATCATATATAACAAGGATCTCAGAAAAGCAAAAAGCAAAAAAAAGAAAAAAGACAAGGACTCTTTATCTGTAAATGTTTACATAATAATATAGCCCAAATATATTTTAAAAATAACTGTCAGATATATTTTGCAAAACTGTCCCTAAATCTTCATATAAGAACAGCTCAACTGCCACAGCAATTGAGCAATTCAGAGGTGTAAGATAATACATTCTTTCAGTTCTACTCTTTAATTTAAAAAATGTTTTCCTTCATCATCTTAAGTCCTTTTAGGTAATAAAACAATGTTTCTACATAAGGCCCCTCTTTGTCAAATGCAGCCTCCCACATGGATGAAATCCAACACATGTTTCTGTTAAAACAGCAGGGAATCCATTTCTTTTGGTGGCTAGGACTCTACTTATTTACTTCATAGCTGATGGCTACCGGGAGAAGGGTGACACGATGATGCTAATAGAAAGGCATGGACCAAATATCTGAAATGTAATTATACTTTTCAAGATCTTTTAACCATATAGGGGGCTTCTTTCATCTCCTTCCCCTCAACGGCATGCTAAAATCAGCAGTGCGTCATGCCACTAAGTTTTTGTAGCTTGCTACTGATGTGGAACAGAGGAGAGAGACTGGTTATGTGTCTGCTAACAGAAGCATCTTCTTCTAAGGGAGAATGACTCCCGTTTCTCGCAAAATACATTATAAATAATTTGCAGGGCCACAGCAAGTAGAACTTCTGCTAACACAATATTAGATTCTACCATTTGTAATGTTCCTGAAAACTAATGACAAACCATTGCATTACATTTTAAATACATACTTAAAAATCAAAGAAAGTGACATATAAATCCATAAAAAATTGGTGTGCTTATCAAGGAGTAAATATAGATTTCAATTCCCTCATTGTGTATATGCTTGATGTTAATTGTGGTCTGCTCTATATATTAAGTGAAATGTCCTATACATAGCATATAGAATTAAAATGTCTCATTAAAATGACAATTTCTACATATGAACAAATCATTTCAATCATATCTAAAGTGTGGAAAAAATAAACAGGAATACTTTGACACTTACTGTTATTTATTATTTCACATAAAACTGAAAAACCAGTTAATTGAAATAGTTTTCTTCAAATGTGCTTTGCTTCCCAGCAGCTAGCTTTATTCAAGTTGGGAGTTGTTTTTTTTTAAATCAAAAGAGATTTCAACCCTGGAAACAATTATGCTAAAGCTGCCAGAAAATGTGTTTGCTTTGTTAAATTGAGCTTCAAAAGTGTTTCAATTGAACACACATTTGTAATTGCAAGTAAGGCCTATTCTTATATCCAATTCAAAATGCTTATTTTATTACAGCTTATTACGAATATGCTGTCTAAAATGCAATAGCATAACTCTTCCATTTCTAGCCCATAATTTTATGATAATTATATGTAATAGTATGCATGAGCTGGTTTCTGTTCCTAACAAAGACCCAGATTGGCATGATAGCAGTTCTGCTTTCCCTATGGATATAATATGGCCTGTATAGGAATATTCTACAATAAGAAGAGATAGATTTAATCACGTGCTCTCAGTTTTATATCCTTTCATCTGGGCTGCAGTACACCAAAAGAATAAACATACTCTCCAAAGACTAATTATGGTATGTTTTCAGTAGCCAAGGTTGGCAACTATGAAACATGTCTTTTATTAACTATCTCACGTTCAAATGTTATTATGGAAATCATCAGTTAAATCCTGCAGATTTGTTATTTTAACATGAAATTATCTGAAAACAATTTCATACAGTCACTTTCCTATAAATTAAATGATCATGCCAGAGTTATATTTTAATATGTTATATAATTTTGCCTTTGACTCAATCATAGCCAGGTTATCCCGCTATCCTTTCAACAGGATTCTCATTTGGTGTGAAAATTTTCTCTTATAAGATTTGGCACTCCATATAAAGTTTCCTTTAAAATGTAGACACTTCTAGTTGCTTTATTAAAGAAATAAGCGCTTAAGAATTGGAAATTGTTTCACAAAAAATAAATATTTTCATAACATGGTTAAGAGAATCTGGGTGGAGAAGAGAGAAAAAAGAGTGTCAAGAACCACCTGATTAGTTATGCTCATCTCCCTGGGGCATGTATATAGAGATTTGATCACCACTCCTGAAAAAGAGTATGTACATAAACAAAACAGCTACAACAATTGGGGGGGAGGGTTTATTTCAATCTTTCTCAGAGGAAAACATAGACTATCTGTAAATTTAGAGTGGTTTTTCTCCCTCTCAAAATTGAGTCATTTCTTAAAATAAAATATATTGATATCCAGAAGCATTAAAACCTAAACATTGCTTATACAATGCATAGCTATCTATGGGACTTGCTGCCATCACATCAATTGATAACCAGCAATTTAGTCAGTTTTGAAAGAGGACTGGATAAATCAGTGATGGCGAACCTTTTAGAGACGGAGTGCCCAAACTGCAACCCAAAACCCACTTATGCATCGTCAAGTGCCAGGTGGGTGTGGCCCATTGGCTGGGTGTGGCCAATTGGATGGGCCGTGGCCCATTGGGTGGGCGTGGCTACGGTGGTAACGGCACATTGGGTGGGACTAAAAAGTTCAATCAATCAATTCCAACTTTGCAAGTTTTTTTTTCCCGCGAGAAATTGAAATTGACTGATTGAACCTTTTTTTTTTTTTTTGCACACGGCGGCGGAGGCCTAAAGCAAAAAGGTTTTATAAAACCCAGCTGAAGGCCTAGGACTGGGGCGACGGCGTACATGCCCACAGAGAGTGCTCTGAGTGCCGCCTCTGGCACCCGTGCCATAGGTTCGCCACCACTGGGATAAATAAATAGAGTACTAGGCTATTAATGGTACTAACCTTGATAGCTCTTTATTACATCTAGAATTGTTGGCAGAATATCTCAAATGTAAGATGCTAGGAAGCAACAGTGGAAACAGCTATTGTCTTCCTGTTTGTGAGAGTATTATTATTCTCTCTACAATAATTACAGCAATAGCAATAGCGTTTAGGCTTATACACTGCCCCGTAGTGCTTTACGGCACTCCCTGGGCGGTTTACAATGTTGAAGCATTATTTGCATATTGCCCCCAACAATCTGGATCCTCATTTTACCGATCCCGGAAGGATGGACGGCTGAATCAACCTTGAGCCCCATCAGGATCAAACTCCAGACTGTTGGCAGAGTTAGCCTGTAATATTGCATTTTAACCACTGCGCCATCAGGGCTCCTAATAGAGAGATTAGCCTGGAATTATTTAATCCTCGTGAAAAAGATGCACATCTCAAATTTGAATACACTAATTCTACCAAATGTCTGGAAAAGAATGTACTTAAGAAAGTAAAGAGCTAGCCATTTTAAAGTATAAATATTTCATCAAAATGTTTTAAAATAAGCTGCTTATTTCTCAGAAAGTTGCAAACATTGAACATGTGAATGCTACAACATACACACACAAACTAACAAAGCAGCATAACTTTACCTAGGCAAAAACTTACAAAGTTAATTGCTATTACCTTAATTTCTGCAAAAGGTCTATCTAAACTTCCAACATAAAGCAGTCCGACGTTCCTTGGGAGAAGCCTAAAAAAAAAAGAAAATGTCTAATTAAAAGCTGTCTTAATGCCATCATACATGTTTTGATAAGTACATGTAAAGTAATCTAACCTGGCCCATATATACAAGTAATCCTCAATTTACAACAGTTCATTTAGTGACCATTCAAAGTTACGACACTGAAAAAAGTGACCTATGACCATTTTTTACATGACGTTGCAAGTATCCCCATGGTCATGCAATCAAAATTCAGATACTTGGGAACTCTCTTGTATTTATAACCGTTGCAATGTCCCGGGGTCATGTGATCCCTTTCTGACAAGCAAAGTCAATGGCGAATCCAGATTCACTTAACAACTATGTTACTCATTTAACAAATGCAATGATTCATTTAACAATTGTGGCAAGAAAAAGTCATACAATGGGGCAAACTCACTTAACAAATGTTTCACTTAGCAACATACATTTTGGGCTCAATTGCAACAGTAACTCAAGGACTACCTGTATATTCTAGTTAATATACCTATAATTTAAGTAGTAGTATAAATCTAGTAATATACTGAAGTCCATGCTTCATATTTTTGTCAGAAGGCAATCTCCAGAAAAGTAATTATCATGCTTATCAAAACTTGAGCTGATTAGGAATGGACAAAATTCCCTCCATTATTTCTACAAAAATGGGTGCTTTACAAAAAAAAAAAAAAGCTACGTGTTTGGAATGAATATATTATTCTCACAAGAGTATAATTTTCTAATTTATATGTCACCTTTTAGCTGGAATTCTAGTATTAGAATAATTTCTCCCTTACTGAAAGATGGAGATTTGACTATCAAGTTATATTACGCTTACTAATAATGGTCAATGCATGGTTCTTTCTAAAAGATCTGTGGAAATGCTCATGCAGAGATCCAGCACTGATTCAAATTTAAGAAAAGGCAGGGCCAATGGCCAAAGTTCTTTTATAAAGACTTTACTTGGAGGCCTGCTTAGAAATATGCCTATATGGAAGCTATCATAGGAATCCCATATTATCCCATAAAGATCCCAATCTTCCTAAGAAAGGCAGCCACTGAAACAGGTAACGAATAAATACATTTTATATAAACTATAAAAATTATCCATATCTTCAGATCTCAAACTTTTATTCAGACTTTAAGCATCCATAGAAAATAAAAATGGTAGTTAAGTTTAATCCAGACCTGGGCATTTTACGGCCCCCAGGTGACATCTAGCCCTTTAGCTTCAATAGGCTGGCCTGTGTAGATTGCTTTTATTTTGAAGGCAACTGCTATTTTCTTTTCCAATGGTGTCTGTGTGTGCATGCCTATGCACCTTCACACCCTTATTGGTTTGGCCCTCCACAACAGTCCCAATTTTTTCATATGGCTCCTTGGAAAAATTAATTGCCCACCCTGGTTTAATCTATCTATATCCTTGTTGTGGCTAAAATGGTATCCCCATCCTATTCCTGCTACTAGTTAGAATATCTAAGTTTTAGAATAAATGACTAAAATTCATTTTTATCAGATTATCATATGCAAAAAAAGCCATCCATGAAAAGAGCAACAGCATTTATTTAGTATAAGAAAACAAAAATAATAGTTGTTGCTATTGCTATTGATAATTGTTGCTATTGCTATTCGATAGGTATCTTTAGATTATAGAAATTATCATTTTAATTATATTTCTCTTGTTTTGGTTGTTTTAAATATTGTTTTAAACAGGTACTAAAGTAGGTTTTCTCAAAACTTTTCTCCCATGCAATCCAGAAAGAAATTGAGCACCAAAAGTCATAAATTCAAGATTATTAGGTGAAATTAATCAAAATGTAAATATGGAAAAGTAGAAAATTGGCAGTCCAGACTGTAATTTTCAAAATTTCAAGATCAATTGCAACTTCATGAGCCATATTTACTGAAGCAACTTCATGAGCCATATTTACTGAAAGGCATATTTTTGTTAAGGAATATTTACAAAACTTTTTTTTACTTATCAATACAAAACACAATGCTAAAATGTAATTGGAAAAATAAAATGTAAGGGTTATCTTTCAGTTATAATTATCGTTTTCTTTTAGTTAAGGATTCTGGGGATGACCATCAACAATGCAAGGTGCTAATATTTTAGGATGATAAATATGAAATCATTATCACAACTTGCTAGGAAAGTTGCTGCTTATTTAAATGAAGGCATATACATTAATGGAGCTGTGATGGTGCAGTGGGTAGAATGCTGTATTGCAAGTTAACTCTGCCCATTGCCAGGAGTTCGTTCCTGATCGGCTGAAGGTTGACTCTGCCTTCCCTCCTTCTGAGATCGGTAAAATGAGGACCCAGATTGTTGGGGGCAATATCTGGCATTTGTAAACCACTCGAAGAGTGCTGTAAATCACTATGGAGCGATATATAAATCTAAGTGCTATCGCTATTAACAGAGAAAATCTACATGAATTATAATTAATATTCAGAAAGCCATCCTTTTGATCTATCGAGGCTTAAATCAGAATACGTCATCCCCTTAACTTCAATGTAGGAAGGACATTGCTTTGATGAGAAGCAAATATTTGTGTAAAGGACTAAGCTGTCCCAAATCATTTCTCATTGTCTGAAATATAAACTGGCTGTAGTGATAACTGAATCTACTGGATGGAAGGGTCCTTACTTTTTCACACTAGAACATTATATTTTGGATAGCTTTGATTATGATATAAATGGAACAGGCACCAACTCTAGTGTTCTTTGCTTTCATTTCATATTTCCTTAATGTACCATTAGGACTCAGATTACGTTTCACTGATAACATTTAAGGAAAAGATATGCAAACATTCAGAAAAATATATTTTCACAGAACTCTGTGTAAGCTGGCTAATACTTAAGTCAAAGTTAAAGGGTCATATTCTTTCTCGTATATAAGTATTATTAAGAATAATAAAAATGTAAAAGGACAGCTCTCTTGTTTTGTATTGTAATTTTCTTAATTATGTATTTTAACCTTGGAAATATTTTTTTTAAAAAGAACAGCTTAATAAATAGCACCACATGCCTTTACTGTCACCTGACAGTTTCATTGTAGTATGTTGAATACTTTGTCCATCCTATTTATAAATTATTCAAAGAATTGATCTTCTCTCATTCCTTAGGGAGATTATTATTTCATCTAACAGCCATTGTTAGAATCTTCTCCATTTTGGTGAAGTCTCAATTCCCCCTTCCATTTCATCCCTATGTAAGGAACTTTTGTCCTCAACAAAACATGTACAGGAAATATGAGAATAATTCACAGTTCCCCCACAGTATATTTTCATGTTTCTTGGTCTGGCAGTTTTTAATTCTTATACTGATTTTAATTCACAAATCAAATGATTTGTTTTAATTCTGTCAAACGTTTGAAAGACTAAAGCAATTGTTTTTCAGATTGCTATAATCTGTCTATGAAGAATGACCGCAATGTATTTCTAGAAGCCCTGCACTATTGAACAATCACTATTATTAAATAGTGGCATAATCTGACTATTTTAAAAGTATATTTTCTCTTGTTCCCTTTCAGCAATACTTCAGTTATCTGATTAATATTGTAGTTGCTTTTTTCTTGTCCTAATCTCTTACCTTCTGAGCAGGAAGATGTCAAAATGAGGAAAGAAAAACTATCTGATACTGGATGTAAAATTGAAATGATAAATGTAGCTTTTTCACCTGTAATGCTGTCCTTTGTGTGTATAAGTGGAAAATCTACTTCCATCCTTATCTTTTGAACAAGTTAAACTGCTACCTTAAAGAATTGCAGTGTTGATACACAACCAGCAGCTCATATAAAATGATAGCATGTTGTTAATCTAATTAGCTACAGGATGTTATTTCTGTATCCCTGGGCTCCAGTCCATTTTATCCAGTGTTCATTTGTTATTTTGGAACATTATTCTTACATAAGGGAACGAAAAACAGGATAGACTAGAAAACAAAAAGCTCAATAACAAATGCCAGTGGAGATGTTCAATTCAATTTCATCAAAGCAGACACATTATTCTTATAGGAAACATTAAATACAAAGTTGACCAAATTTTTACAAATTTTAGCAAAGACAAGCATTAAATATGTCACTTTCACAAGATACACACACACGTATAACATATACATACAAGCACAAAGACTATATATTATGATGATGCAAATCTTAATCACCTATTAGCTCAAATGTTAATTTAAATGATTTTAGGATATTTGCAAATATGAAAAACTATACAAGTTAGCTTGCCTAAAGGACTTCCATTAATCAACAGATTTTACTGTGCATTAGGCACATGACCAAATGCCTGCTGATGCTACATAGCATGTAAACATTGAAACAACATTTAATATTGGTCATATGAACAGGAACAATAGCTACAGGTAGTCCTCAATTTATGATGGCAACTGGGATCAGAATTTCTGTCACTAAATATTAATCGAATCCCATGTTAAGCTAGGAAATTTCCAAGGCAACAACCAAGTCAGTAGGGAAGTTGAAAGTCTCAGATGGCTTGTAAGCAGGCTAGCAGGCAGGTAAGTAAGCAAGTAAATTGCCAGGTGGGGCATGGCATGAGGTGCAAGGGAGGGTCAGCAAAGTTAGAGGAGGATGTGAGGGAGACACAGCAAGGCTTGGGGAGAAGGTGAAAACAGCTGATGCAGCACAAATGCAGGAGGGCTAGGAAAGGGTACACGAGTGGGGGAGACTTACCCTAGTGACCTTTGATCTTTCCTGCCAGCTTCCACACTGACTTTCTGTGGAAGCCAGCAGGGAAGTTTGTAAATGGCAATCATGTTATCAAGGGGCACTGCAACCGGTAAGTGCAAGCCATTTTCCAAGTGCCCACAGGGTTGCAGGGTTGCTGGGATGGCCAAAACTCTGAAGACCAATCAATACCGCCATTTGTTTAGTGCCATCATAACTCTGAATGGTCGCTGAACGAATGGTTGTAAGTCAAGGGCTATCTGTATAGTCAAAAGAATGACAGCTAGAGCACATCATTAAAGTATAATATATTGCTTTA